TTTTTTTTTTTTTTTCAAGACGAAGAAATTTTGACAGTGTATCGATTTTGAGAAAATTTCCAGCACAATCAGCTCATGTTTGAAGATATTTTAAGAGCTTGAAGAAATAAGCAAGCACAAGAGCCCGAGATCTCTCCAAAAGAAAGCCGCATCTTTTTTTCAGGAGATTCTATTCAACGCCTTCTAAAAAAGAACAGAAACATAATTAGTCTAAAAATAATTTAATTGATTTTTTTGTGTCGGTTTGCAGAGAAACGCCACTCACTCAAAACCCTTACCTTTTCTTTTCTATATCGAATCTGTACCTTTTCTTTGCTTGTCTTTTAATCAAACTGAAAAAATTGTTTATATATTAAAGAAAATCGAAAAAACTATTGAAAGCCGGATAAGGCAGAATTTTTCTTTTCTTTTTAGACAACGAACAGTTTTAGTAGATTATAACCGATTACTCTGTCAAAAAAGAACCGGGAATTTTTAATGCAATAATTTCGCTTAAATAGTCTTTAGATTATGCCGAAGTGGCGGGAATTGCTTATTCGGTCAACTAACTTTTAGTATATTTTGGTAGAAAATTCCAGGGAATTGTTTACCTAAAAATTGTGCTTGATTACCTTTGTCAAAAAAGTACAGGGATTTGTTCATTCAATAATTTACATTTATAAATATTTATACATATAAACACATATGTCTATGTATATTTATATATACTTATTTATACAAAAATATAAATATATACGGAACAAAATATATAAATATATATATATATATATATATATATTTTTTTTTTTTAATTATGTCAAAAAGGTCCAGGGATTTGTTTATTAAATAATTAGCTTTTATAACTAGTATGTGTGCGTGTTTATTTAAAATGTGTCAAAAAAGTTTAGGGAATTTTTTACGCAATAATTTTATTGAATTAACATTCCTTTGTATACAGCGTTACAGGTCGAATCGTGAATCTTGAAGGCGTAGGGTATCATACCGCTTGCATTAGATGCATTTATCCTTTCTATGATAATTGAAATTGTTTTTTAATTATCCAATACACTCAACCGCAGACCGCACACTTTAGTTCGAGCATAATCTAAGTTTGATAAGCATTCTCTCTCCTGTTCTCACACGTATAGCTTATACTAACAATAGAAAATGTATTTTTGTATAAATAGCGTTAATTACAAAAGCTTAAGAATACTTTGTCTTGAAACTTTCAATAATAAATACGAAAAGGAAATGGCTTTAGTGACTTCATCACTTGTGCAAACACCTCAAAGCGTGCGGGTGGTAGTAATCGGTTCAGGACCTTCCGGTATAGCGGCCGCTACTCGCCTAGTGGAAGCCGGTTTCAATGATGTCTTGATATTGGAGGCTGAGAGTCGTGTTGGTGGTCGCATTTACACGATACCGTTTGCCGATAGCGTTATTGATTTAGGCGCTCAATGGTGCCATGGCGAGAAGAATAATGTGGTTTATGAAACGTTGGAACGCCTGAATCTTTTAAATCTATTGGAAACTACCGGCGATACATATTTTAAATTTAAATGTGTCCGCTCCAATAAAGATATTGTGCCAGATAAGGTAGTTTCAAAGCTAACTGAAATTTTTTATGAGATAATACCATCAAGAGAAGATGAACTGAAATCGTATGAAGGATCGGCAGGTGCCATAATGACAGAAATGTTTTGGAAAGAAATTGATAAATTGGCTGAAAAACCGGATCGCACTGTCGTTAAAGAATATTTTGAAACAGCAAAAAAGGCGAATTTATCCTTAGAAGCTGCTGATACTATGTTCGAAGTTTCACCTTCAAATGCGTTGCAATTCGAGACCAGTGAAGGCGATCAAAATTTAAATTGGAAAGATAAGGGCTATCAAACCTTTTTAAATCTTTTATTGAAAACTGATGATTACAAAAAGAATTTGGGTTTATTGGAGGACAAAATTCAAGTTTGTCAACGTGTCAAGCACATTGAATGGCAACATGAAGACGGGATAAAAATTACGCTCTTTAGTGGGAAAATTATTGTGGCAGATCATGTTGTATGCACCACTTCTTTGGGCGTCTTAAAAGAAAGCCATAAATCTCTTTTTCAACCGTCATTGCCGCTTAGCAAAATACGGGCCATAGAAGGACTTAAGCTGGGTACTGTTAATAAATTTTTCTTGGAATTTGAAAAACCTTTCGAGCCCGTCGACTGGGTAGGATTCAATTTCCTATGGTTAGAGGAAGATCTCACGGCGTTACGTGAAACTGAACGCTTTTGGTTAGAAAATGTCTTCGGTTTTTACCGAGTAGCCCATCAGCCACGCCTTATGCAAGGTTGGATTGTTGGTCGTCATGCCCGCTATATGGAAACGTTAAGCGAAAAAGAAGTTCTCGAAGCTTTAATGTGGTTATTGAGAAAGTTTCTCTCACATCCGGTCCCCGAACCCATAAAGTTCACACGTACACAATGGTATACGAATTGCAATTTTCGCGGCACTTATAGTTTACGAACTATGTACACAGACGAATTGCGTACCGGTGCTTGGGACTTGGCGGCAGCTTTGATCGACGGCGATGGCAAGCCCATTGTGCAATTTGCCGGCGAAGCAACGAACAGCCATCACTTCGGCACCGTTCACGGTGCTACAGAAAGTGGTTGGCGCGAAGCTGATCGCTTAATTCATTTTTACCAAAAGAAATCTCTTACAAAGTGATCGCTTTAAACAATATATATATATATATAAAATAGGTTTTTAAAAGCACCCAAAAAATTCCACTTGAAATGAATTATTTTATATTTAATAAAGAACTCCTTGCAAGCAAAAATAGATCTATTTATTTATTTATTTATTTATTTATTTTTATACTTTACACCATTTGTGGTGTAGGATGTATTAAGTTAATGTGGACGTATGTAACAAGCGGAAGGGCTTAAGATAGACCCATCTTTTATTATACCAATCGATTCGGAATCAAGATCTGAATTGGTCTACGCCTGTATATTCGTCTCACGTCAGTCCATGTATAGTTCTGTTCAAGCTACAGACAGCAATTTGGTACAGTGACGAGTTTTGACACAAGGACGACGATATTGAAAACTTTTTGAGATTGATCCGCTTTTTCGAGTGCTGCCCTATTCTGAAAAGCTGTTATATGGAAAAAAATTTGAATTTTCAAAATTTTTCGGCAAATGTGTGTGCGTAGACAACCATTAGGCGTTTTTTTCTTTATTGTTGTTTTTTATTCGTTTCTATTTAAAATTTTTTTTTTTTTAACAGAAATAAAACGATCTTCAATTACATTAGCATTAACAAATATGCAGCAGCAGCAGTGCGTAGGTAAATGTTATGTTATACAGGTTTGTTTCTAGCGTCGACAATAGCTCTTAGCATTAGGCACTTGACTATAGCATATAAACGTACGCATGCATTGAGTTCTTTATCTGAGCATACACACACACACACACACACAACACGCACGCCAAAAAAAAAGAAGAAAAATGTACTCTCAGTAACGAATTTTGTTTAACGACTTGATTGAAACTTACTTTTCTCTTGCTCACATACCTCCATAGAATCACCAGTAGCTGGCCACATATATTTACGTATTTTAACGTCACTTAATTTCCAATTTTTTATAAAACCAGATTTTTCATAGAAACAACGAAGAAAACACTGAAATTTTATAGTATTTTTTCTTTTTATTTTAAATATAAAAAATGTATTTGTTTCTCAATTTTAAGCTTACCATGCCAGTCTTGTCCGTTACATCTGGTAATGAGCCAGTGGAATTGAAGCTGGTTAAGTAGTCTTAAAAACAGAAAAAATCAATTTTTTCTCTTATTTGTATTTTAAGACGTAAGTAAGACCATCGCAAATTTTTAACAAAATCAATTTTTGTTTTTTGTTTATTGCTAATAGCCTAAATGCTCCCTGACATAAAAAGCTAAAATATTAAATAAACCAAAAATTGGATTTTTCGAGTAAAATTATAGGACTTGAAGCTTTAAACGCATTTTTTTTCGTGGCAAGTAGCATGACTTGAATAATATGTAGGACCCTTTCGATAAGATAATGTAAGCAACTTTTCTTACGCGAATTTATAGAACATCATCAGGAGGAGTTGACTTACACCCATCTTTTACTATATCACAATCACTTTCTGAATCGATTTAAGCTTCTCCGTCTGCCTGCCCTTCTGATGTCCTTCAACGCGATTTGTGTTCAACCAATAATTTCAGATGAGATTCGGTACAGTGGTGTGTTGTGGCCAAACTGTGAACATTATCAAAAAAGTCTCGGATTGGACCCCTTTTTCGACCACTTCCCGTATAGCCCCTTGTGGTGAAAACTCATTTTACGAAGTAGTGTAGGTTATTTAAGGACAAGCTATGACCTAAGAAAAGTGCATTGATTTTTTTAAAGCATTCATATTAATTCATATTCGCTAGGTGCTGCAGATATCCTTAAATTGGTAGCGCCTCGCTGCTACTGTGCTTCGATGCAATCTTTTTTTCAGTATTTTCCACAAATCATTTTTTTTTTTTTTTTATTACTTAAACATACGTTTGATTATCTCCCCAAATATTTTTATTCTATCGCATATCCTTTGAATCATAAAAAACTTATAGAGAAAAAAGCTTTTCTGGTATTTTTTAAGTTGTTACGGTGGTCCTATCCCCTAAGTGGACTGCAATTCCCCGACAACTTACCGGTTGGTATTGAAAAGCTCGAATTACATTCTTCAATAACATCATCGAAATCCACAATATCTGCAGCTTCCATGGTAACACTATTGTTAGCAGATTTCGAAAGTAAATTTTTACGATTTTGAAGAAATTTTTCCTCACTTACAAGATAGATATCACCATTGTATACGGGAGTTCGATAACTCAAAGTAGAGTTTAAGAGAAAATTTATAAAAATTATAAAATGCAATGCATTCATAACGATCGAGAGTGCTAACTATTAGCGGCCAAGCAGAGAGTCTTTACTACTGACTGACTACTGGCTAATAGTGGGTGCATTTATACTGTAAAGCAAAACTGAAAGCACTTATATAAACTGCATTCAACGCAATTTGTTATGATTCTTTTATTGATAAATATAAATAGGAATATATATATATATAAATATATATATATATATATATATATACATACGGTAAATAATTGATTTTGTTTTTTTTGCAATTATTTTCAATTACCATAATTTTATCTTTATTGTTATTTTATACGCTTTAGAATCAATCTCGTGCTATTTAATCGTATTCTATAGGTTTGTGTGTGTGTAAGTGTGAATAAACGAATAAAAGTATTGTTTACATTGTAATCGTTTCAATATTCAATTTTGCTTAGTGATTTGTTAAACACAACTTGCGGGAAATGAAGGAGGCGGGAGACATATCTGGCCATAAGTAAAACAAAATTCTCTTTCAACATAAAACTAGGAAGGGCAAAGAGTAAAAAAAAAAGAAAAGAAAGGCAAGATAGCAATTAGAAATAAGAATAAGAAATGAATAAAAACAAATAAAAACTTTACAGCGGACCCTGGCCCAGCGTTAATTATCCAACGTAATTTCGTTTAATGCAGTTATTCATGTAATTGATGTTTCAACATACAACTCTATCTGGGGAAGTTGTCGAAAAAGTAGTCCAATCTGAACTATTTTCAAGAATACAAAGCGGACAGACGGACAGACAACTCTACATAAAAACAGAATCACTTTCTCTGTATAAAAGGCGAGCCAGCATAATGGATGGAATGGATGGATCCTATCTTAAATCCCTCTAGGTTTTGTAAAAAAAAAAAAAAAAACAATTTTAAGCTATTTTTAGAGAAAAGAGTTTTTTAATTAAACATTAATTAGAAAGAAAAAATGAAAAAAAAAGAAGAAAATTAATATTTCAGCTTGCGTTTCGGTGATGATTGAGACGTTTTTGCTTAAAGCAAAGAGTATTTTATTTATTGTTAGGTTATTAGGTAATGCAACGGGAACTTAGAGCAATGAGTATTTAGTTAATAGGATGGGAGGATGAAAAAAGTCTCCACGGGCTTATTACATGTAATATTAATCTGTAAATAAAATTTGTTTTAAAATTTACTTAATTTTTTTAAAATAATTTTAAACTAATTTTTTTTAATAATTTATTCTTTGCAAAATGGATTTTTGTCTTAAATAACTCTATGCAATGTCCACGTTGCATCCAAACGTCAAACTTTACCACCCCAGGCTCTTTTCACCAAATAGGAACCTCTTTCGGCTATCATCACGGCAGGGGCATGAGTGTTACCAGCCGTAACCTTAGGCATTATGCTGGTATCCATTACTCTGAGGCCGCGTATACCGTGAACTCTTAGCTCATGATCTACTACAGCCATGGGATCATGGCCCGGTCCCATTTTACATGAGCCTGCCTGATGATTTTCTGGTCCCGTGTTTTGACGTACAGCACACTCCCAATACGCCTCGGTTCCAAATGTAAAAGATTCACAACCCTCGGCCACCGTTCTATCCAAACGCATACCGTACTGCCTTAAAGGTGACGTCTGAGATAATTTAATGGCAAATTTAATGCCTTCTATTAAAACCTTAACATCCCTTTCATCGGTTAAATAATTGGCCACAATTTTGGGTGGATCCAAAGGATCCGATGAAGCCAATGTTATATAACCTCGGGATTTGGGATTTAAGACTGCCGGGAATATTTGCACACTACGCGAATTATTTGATAAAAGCTCTCCAACTTGGCCTGTGCGTGCACAGCTTGCTAAATAACCACCAAAATAATATTGAATATCGGGTACACCCGGTCGGTCGGCATAGCGAGTAGTCATCTTAGCGGTGACATCAGAAACTCCTGTACCGGACATTAGACCGTCACGGAATAGTAAATATTCCATAGCAGTCGCCCAATTCAAAGGAGCGGTATCGGCATCATCGATGAAAAAGTTGGTAAAATATGCCACGTGATTATGGAGATTTTTACCCACTCCCGGTAAATCATGCACAGACCTCACGCCCACCTTTAAAAGGAAAATACGTTTTGTTTTGCAAAAAGAAAAACAAAAGTTGTCTCACCTTTTTTAAATCTTCCTTAGGACCTACACCACTTAAGAGAAGAATTTGTGGCGAGTTTACTGCACCACCGCTTACTATTACCTCTTTTTTAACCAAAATTTTACGCATACTACCGTATTGGTCGATTACTTCTACGCCCAATACTGTCTTGGTATTCGGCTGTATTAGGACCTTAGTTACTGTTGTGTTTAATAAAATATGTAAATTGTTACGGTGTCGCGCGGGCCGCAAAAAGGAACGGGCCGAACTCCAACGTATACCGTTTCGTGAGGTCATCTGAGCTATCATAAATCCCGTTGTATTGCGACCGTTCAAATCATGTACCGAATATCCTAAAATTTGATTACAATTTAATTAAATTTAATTAAAAAGAAAAAAAAAAAATCTTTAGCCTTGATTTGTTACCCATCTCTTCACCGCCCTTTAAAATAGCATAGGATAGGGGAGGATTGTAAGGAAATCGTGATACAGGCATTAGGCCACCTTTAGCATGATATTCGGTGCCGACTTCATTCAATTGCTGATTGTCTTCCGATTTCATAAAGAACGGCAACACTTCTTTATAACTCCAGCCCGGATTACCCATGGCCGACCAATCGTCATAGTCTTCGGGATTACCGCGTATATACATCATCCCATTTAAGACTGATGTACCGCCAAGCACTTTGCCTCGTGGCCAGTAGCAACGTTGCTCTTCAGCCGAGAGGCAAGCCATTTTCTCCGGTTCGGTATTGTAACGCCAATCAATGTCGCTACCTATGAAATTTAGGAACATAGAGGGTATTTGAGCACCTACCGGTTCATCGCCACCTTAAAGGACAAAAAGAAAATCAAAATCTCTATAATTTTTAGTAATGTCTTCTTTTTTTAAAACGAATTTCCAGTTGCTTTAGCTTAAGCGAATACCTAATCGGTATGAAACAATCCTTCGCTCGCCTCTATCAGGATTAATTTACTCTTTGCTTATTGCTATCTCAAGTGAATGGTCTTAGCTAAGTAAAGTACCTTTCTATACGAATTTGCCCACTGTGTTGCGCTGCCACGATAATTTTTTTTTAAATAAAGTTAATTAAGATGCCATAGGTCCATCCATTCATCGCCATTATGATATAGCAAAGCAATTAAATCTATTCAACGAATAAATTAATAGATAAAAGGATGGCCTTTGGTTTTGAGTTGCAAAGCATGTTTAATGCATGCGCGAGCGTGTGTGTGTGTGTGTGTGTGTGTGTGTGTGCGTGCGTGTCTGAAAGGCACAAGAAAGACTGTTTACCATCCCTCCTCATGCAACGTCTTCTAGAGAAAGAGTTTTTATATGAAAAAAATGGCGGTTTTCATTATTTCTTGATGATCAAAAATCGAGGAAAGGTAGAAAGTTTGCATCTAATGGTGGTGGCACGACTTTTTGAATCCTCTCTCACACAAAGCTTCTTATGCAGGAAATAAGCTTTTATTTGGCAAGACAGAGGAGATTTTGGATTTCACCTTGATCAAAATCGGTTCAGAATAGTGATTTAATGTATGTATTTGTTATGGTAAATTTGGAGTACCATGCTTAATATGACCATGTAAAAGTTTTATTCATTTTATTATAATGTATTTATGTATTATACCCATCGCTAAAGCATGAGTGGTATATTCATTTTATGAAAACGCCCAGAAGAAACCTTCAGAGACCCCACAGGATATATGCATGCTTGATTAGCATCAAATTCTGAACCGATTTAAGCATGTCCGTCCGTCCGCCATTGCAATGTCTGTTGTAAACACTTTCCTAGCCGTAAGAATCGATTTCAAATTGGGCATTTTCAGAACCATTGCAGCTTGGTATTGGAAATGGGCCAAATCGAAGTTGAAGGACACGATCACAGCATTACCTCTGTTTTTCGAAAGGAATAAAAAAGTTCAAAGTGTCAAATGATGGACAGTATTTTATTGTTACTATTTTCTTTTTTTTTTTCTGACAATTCCGGATACTTTTTACACAGATTCAACTTTTAATAACAGTCCACTGAAAGTTAACTAAAGTGTCTTATTTCTTACTCAGCCCCCCGTCATCATCGAAATATACTCAATTCTTTAGTCTTTCAATCTATCTTCTCATAGAAAAATTGCGCGCTTACCAGTCTTCATATTGGCCCTATTTTTTGCCCCACTTTCTGTCTACCTAATATATTTATTTTGGCCTGAGTATCTAATATTTTAAGCTATAAAAGGCTAGTAAAACCATTTCTAATGCGATTATTGCAGAGTATCAGGATCGCCTTTAACTTCTACTTAAGGTGTTTCGATATCATTAAAACCAATATCACCTCTGACTAATATGGTGTATAAATATATAGCTATTATTATTAGGAATAAAAATTAATTTGTTGTAAAATAATAATAAATAAAAAACTGTAATTAATAAAAGCAAACCTGTTTCTTTGCTCTTTTATACTATTTTTAATGAGATAATAATTTATAAAAATTACTATAAAGCTACAAGAACTTAGTCACATAATGAACATTTGCTGAGTTTTAAAATTCAAAAATAAAAGATTTGGGTCGACTTGACAGTAAATTTTTTCGTGATAGCAAAATAAAGCTAGCATCCATTCATCCTATGGTATATATGTTTGAAATGGATCGATTAGCATTTGTTAAAAAGTTGCAATAAATTAACATTTAACGGCTTAACAAGTAGAATGATTAGCTAGTGCTAAATACAACGACTACTTTAGCTGATTTTTGATAAAATCGCATTCGAGGAAGAACTTGAAGCGATTGCCCATTGATCCATACCAATTACATCGACTTGCTTCATTGTTAGAACACATTTTTCGTTGTTCGTCGATGTCGTGAACTAAACTTAATTTAGTGGCAGAGAATAACTTTAACTCATCATAAAAGTAGCATTCTAGACTCGTGCGATGCTCATAAAACAAACCACTCCGAACATGTTTCATCTGCCCTTCAGGCACGAAAGTTACGTGATGTTGGTGTAATATAATGTCGGGGTCGTTAGCAGATGATAATAACTCGCCAAGCCAGGTCGTAGACTCTGCTAAGTGGAGCGAGCACTAATTACCACAATTTATTCTTTGATTAGTTGAGACATTTCAAGAAAATATTTACAAAGTTATCTTTGCATTAAACACAACAGTAAGTAAAAGGCTATAATCCAGCAGCTAACACTTCGCATCTGCTTACGAAAGATCCTGTTTTCCTTATGTCACATCTTTCATAGGAAATATATTTTGAATCTGAAGGCAAATAAAGTTGAAAAACTTTCGGAACATTAAGGATTGGTTCTTAACGTTAAAAATGCTATACCGTGCCGTCTAGGCAAACGTCGTCGCATTAGTCCGTTAAAGTTAAAATTCATACTTACTCAAGAGCGAATGTTGCTTGCTCTCGATTACAATTAGCAAACATTTGCTGGAACATTTTTTCATTTACCTTTTACTCGCTTCTAGGAGATATTTATAGTGGGATTTATGTCAAGCTCTCTTACGGGCTACAAGTCAGTCGCTAGAGCGGAGCCTGCTAGGTAGGCTTAGCTTGAAGTACTTATGTAGACTTTTGGATCAAGTTATTTAGATTTTCAATTTTCAATTTTCAATTTTCAATCAATGTTTTGGATAGTTTTCCGCACTCGTTTCGTTCCTTACAGTAAGTTTGAGAGGAGCATAAATACAATTCTGGCTATCACAAGCATTATTGTGGGCGGATCACATTGCCGTTTAGCTATCCATTTAGATTCTTGCGATCTTGTGGAAAGAAAAACATGGACCAACTGAAATCGTCTAATTAAGAATGTAGTTTATTGCGACTCCAATGCTTATACATATATGAGTGTACTGTCACATTGCACATCGCCGCGGTTTGTTATCAAGTATTGTATAAACATAAAATCACTTACTTCGCCTCATACCTACTATTTCGTATTAGATTAAAAGTACATATGTACACTTTTATTTGTAAGTGTATACACTAATGAAGCTATAATTATGAGGTTACAATTAAAAAAAAAAACCAAAAATTATGATGTATTTGTAATTGGGGCTGTATGTGTTATTGTTAGTCGAATACGTTTACAGGTTCTACAACTTAATTTGATGAAAGTTATAGGAAGAGTTGGTTTTTTAAGACAAAATTTCAACATTTCAACTCCCCGAGTAATGGAAGACAGACGGACATGAAGATTTTTGCAATTCGTTATTCATATTATCATATTAATCAATAGGGTCTCTACAGTGGTAATTGCATGGTAAACTGAATCCAATAAACTCTCTGTAGAGCACAAAAAAGGAAAGACGTAGGGACAGACATTTGAAAAGTGATTTCGTTTTTCATGGTAATCAATAAGGGCCCGATAGTAGTAATTGCTTGGAAAACTGTATCTAATAAACACTCTGCAGAGCACAAACAAGGAAAGACGAAGGGACAGACATTTGCAAAGTGATTTCGTCTTTCATGGTAATCAATAAGGGGCTGACATGAAAGGCAAGACGGACAGTCAATTTGTCATTTGTCATTTCCAATCAGGACTGTCTAATGATTATTCCTGTAATGATGGGTAAAATTTGAGCATTGTCGACCTTCTTGACACTTGTCATCACCACAACGCAACATCATTGGTATTGTAAAAGTAATTCATAGATAAAAAAAAAAAAAAAAGAGTTAATTGAATATACGATAATTTGAGAATAATTTACATAATATTAATATAAACTCTTGTACCGGCTTCGATTAGTAAAACCTTCCATTGCGGTATTTCGGATAAACGCGAAGCTACCACCGAACCAGCCGAACCGCCGCCAACTACAATAAAATCGTATTCATAATCTGGTTCTGAGCGAAACTGGAAATAAGAGCAAAGCAGAGAAGAAATATGATACAAATGAATGAACTCTACTCTAATATGAAAATAAGTTAAGTTTATTGCACAATAAACTCTGGCTTAGACTGGGGTGTAGATAAAGTGAAACATAAATATTTGAAAGACTTACCCTTGAACTAGCGCGACCACAAGGATCTTCAAGATCACATTGCGAGCGTACAAACACTTCCAATAGGCCCATAAATAACATGAATGCATTGCCGCCGCATGTTGAGGCCAATGTCGGACCCGTAGGCACCCCCACCAAACAATCACATTTGCCACTGGACATGACTTCGCGTCAGTGAAACAATATTCAGCTTTGTTTGTGTGTTGGACTAGTGATTGTGTTTGCAGCTCTCTTGTTATGTTTTTTTTTTCCTTTTTTTTTTTTTGTTTTTTGTTTTCTTTTTATTTAATGGTTTAATGTTGTAGCGGCTTTTTGGTCAACTGCAGTGAAAAAATTAAAACAATAATAAACTTATAGCTTTTGTTTTCTGCTTCTTTTTTTTTTTTTTTTGTAAGCAAAACTTTTGGTTTGTTGTCTGCTTTATTTATTAGCTGACAACTTGCATGTCATAAATAAACCTGTACGTACAATGTAACATAGAGTTTAAGTGTGTATACGTTTGTATGAACACAAATCATTATTACTTTTTTTTATTTTTATTTTTTTTCTTCACAAAAAACAAAAACGAATTAGAAAAAAAAATTGTGCAGAACTTGATATTGGTATTGTGAACATATTCAACTGATAAGTTAATCACTCTAACGATATTGTGCTGCGTTGTACTCTGCCGTGGCATGTGGTAGCGCTGTGCAGTGTTACAAATAAGTTTTGAATGGAAATTAAATTAGTTGTTGTGTGTTTTCTATTTTCGAAGTTTTGGAATTAAAGTTATTTCAATCATTACCGGGTATAATTAAGGAAACCGCTACAGTTAAATAATATTTTTATTAATACTAGTATTTCTATAATTCGTTTAAATGTTCATAAATTAGATTTTAGTGGAATTTAATTAAAGCAAGTTTCTCGCTTAAGTCTTTTGTTAGGGAAAACCTTCAACTTATTATGGCAGAGAAATCCACAATAATTAACTAACTGAGTGAAAACATATTCGATATGAAAAATGTTTATACTGACCAAGCGATATTATAAGAATATTCATCCCAAACAAAACAATAAAGCGGTTCTTGACGAAACAACGAATTAAAGTTTCTCGCTTAAGTCTTTGATTAGGTAGAGCTTTCGACCAATAATCGAAAGGAAATTCTTTATCATCAACTTATGCCTGGTGCATGAACACTCGGGTGTTGGGGGCAACGAAACGGCTGACTGTCTAGCGAACAGGTGGGTAGATTCTGAACCGTTCTGTGGCGTACCAAGGAGCCACATTAACAGGCTGGTATGTGCAAGTTGCAGGAGAATGGCAAGCAAAAAGAATCATAAAATCTTCCCGCAAGGCAAACACAAACTACCGAAACTAAGAACAAGCGACCTACGTTTAGTCATCGGCATCTACACGGATTATATAATTCCCTCAAAACGAACGTGAGGTCATTTGCAGAATCAGACACCAAGTGTTGAGTGCTAAGCATTTTACCACGCCCGACACGGTACTGTGCTCCGATTCAAAGAAGCTGGCGGGATTCATAAAAATCCTAAAACTGATTGGCTAGGGGTATGGGCGTGTACAATAGATGTTCTAGGTCGCGGTACGTCTTGCCCGCGTAATTAATGGTTAATAATATGACACCAAAAAAATATATTCAAACTTATATTATGTATGTGACGGACGGACGATATTCCGATTTCATACTTACCTACCTGGTAATTTTGATTTGATTTAAGGTAAACGAATTCAATGTCAATAATTTGGGCAATTTACCGCCGGAAACGGATATTAATCGATTATTATTAAGTAATTGTTTTGCCAAACAACAAAATGTTTTCTTTCTTTAATATGAGCACTCGTTTTGGGCTTGTCCTTGTTCTCGTGTAAGAAGCTGATGATCCGAAAGGACTACGGATGAAGAAAGACATAGCATGAACTGGTGACCGCAGCCCAATCGATTAGTGTTACACTGATTATTCTTGGGATTCGAACACTGCCTTGGCAATCGCGATTTTTACTTACCCTACTACCCAAGCCGACTTGTTGTAAAAGAGTATATTAAGTTTGTGCGGCTTCATGCAACACTCAGAAGGAATTGAGATGGATCTGCCTATCATTATTATACCGACATATGGATCGATTTAAACTTGTCCGTCCGCCCGTCTTGTTTTTTTATGTTCAACCTACAAGCCGGCCTCAATTTTTAAGATATTTTGATGAAAATGTCGTGGTGTACCGACATGCTTTGGCCCAAAGACAGTTCGGGTCACCATCTCGGCCACTGCCCATTTAAGTCTTATTTTGAAAAGTTGTTACATGAATAACTATATTAAACGAAGTAGTGTCGTGAATTTAATGGCGGGTCGTATCCCGCTACGATGTTTTACTTTTTTATTGATGAAACAGTGCTCTTGTGTTTTGGTCGAAAATTCTTTCTCTTTTATATCAAATACTTGCCGACGTGTGTAAATATCAATATTTCTTAAAAATCCTACCTACTAGTGCAGTAGATAAAGGAATATAGAGGCTTTCGTTTGCTTTGTTTATTTAGCTGATATTGCTCAAAAGAATTTTTTACAGTAACTCAGGGGCCGTTAACGACGAAACGACTATAAATATGACATCAGTTAATGATAGCAAAAATTGAAAGCAATTGAATCTACAACAAGCAAGTGGAAAAGAAAAAAAAAGGAAAAGAAAAAATAACTGAAAAGTAAATCACGCGCTTTCGTTCACCGTGACCGTGATATAGCAATCGACGCATACATATTTAGGCTAACATAATGCCACGTAAATGCTTAGTCAGCCATCAAAAGTGTGTGCGAAAGACTTATCGTTTGTCTTCTTAAGACACAACAACAATGAATTTTCTGATGATTGTTGCTATTATTGTATTCACAGTTAAGAAAATTATTAAATTCTTTGACTATTTCTTTTATTTTTTTTCGTTGTTGTTTCTTTTTTTTTTTTTTTTTTTAGGTTAAAATTACAATTTTCAAAACGATTGTGGCTTCTGTTGAACTCAAGAGAAAAAGAAAAGAAAAATTTGAATATGAATTTGAATTTATAATTAAAAGAAAAAAAAAAAAAGACCAAAAAATACGTCAAACAGAACGCATACAAAAAGCCAACAATCTCTCGCATCTTAAGCTCTTGTCAAAGGTCATGAGAAGAAGCAGAAGAAAATTTTAAAATTATGATCTGTTGTCTGTGCGATGTATCCAACGAACGGAAAAAAAAAAAAAAGTTGGTAAATAATTGTGTTGTGTCTGTGGCTTCTGTTTTAACTAATTTTTGAAGGCGGTGTTGGTTAATAGGCATTTTGTTGTAATTTCTTGCCTTTTGGGCAACGCTTGATTTATTGCATTCATCATTGTGTTATTTTTCGTTTGCAACGTCTTGATATAAACTTTGCAGTCTTACTTGTACAACGGTACAACATGTAAAGAACGAAATCGTGAGCGCCGTTGTTCCCCACATTTTTTTTTTTTTATTTGAAATAATTTTTTTTTTTTTGTTTTTGGGAAGCGAGGAGAATTTTTACTTCCTTTTATTGTCGAACAATCTTTACTTCTTAGGTTTAAGGGAACTTAACGTTAGCTCAGCTTAATAAAGCGTTATTCCCTTTACGGGGCTTTATTTCTCGCAATAACTGCGCGCAGGGGCTTATAGTTAATTGCAAGCAAAGAAGCATTGGAAAGTTTATATCATTGGACGTGAAATACTGAAGGATCTCAAGCAACTCGCACCGTAAAACTTTCCGCTTTCTTTTCAGTCCTTATAAGGACCAAGAGTGAAGATTACTTCACTGCACAGAAATTTACACTTTTCTCCCGATTTTGTGATCTTCTTAAAGCCTTATGCCGAAGTATGAAGGCCTCTAGTTAGGTAAGAAAGCTCTTGGTGTTCGAAAGCCTATGTCTATAAGATTTCAAAACTTGAGTCGATCTCAAATGGGAGTAGAAAACCAAACCAGTTTCATAATTTTAAGTTTTTTTTTTTAATACGATGATGATGATGGTTAGGAAGCGCTGTAGCTAGAAAAGGATAGAAGGAGGAAACTATGTTTATGTACGTTTGACTTAAAAGTGGAAACGTCAGAAACGGTGGAAAAAATCTTTGCCAGTAGAATATTCCAAAGGCGCGCAATGTAATTAAGAGAATGAAAAACCCCGGTAGCGTATCGTACGATATAAAGATAATACCAGGACAACAAAAAATGAAAAAAAAAGAAGAAATGATCTTGCATGGGCGTGGCTGATTTTTTCCATTTTTTTGGGAAATTTTTTGTCGTGCGTCTGCTTATTGTAGTTTATGAGCAGTGCTCTCGTTTTATAGTGCAACATAGCCCTCTTTTTTAATCGCTCTTCACTACCTACATGCGCGTAAGAGCTTCCAATGCATTTTTGGGGGTCAGGAGATGGACAGAGGAACAGACAGAAGGTAACTTCATGCTTGCAGTCATACGCCTACGGACAAACGGACAGATCGACATGTTTAAAGCGAAGCAGAGTTTAATGCCTATTGAGAGCGTGTAAGCTTTATGCAGTCGTTGAATGTCGTGTCGCAAGCGTTACAATCAAATAAATGCATTTTCGTCTTTCGATGTAAGCACCTTTGTCTTAGCCCAAGTGTAACTCTTTTTCTTCATTTTTAAGACTAAAATCTTTTTCCGCAAATTTGGAAAAAATTTTATAAAAAATTTTTCAAGGCTCTGCTTATAATTATATTTTTAAATAATAATTAATGTTTAAAAAAATTTTTTCTTGCCGCGAAATTTATAAATTATAAAAATTTTCCGCGTTTATTTGAAAGATTAGTAGGTTTTACTGCATATAAATAATATTTTTAATCATAACTACGTAGAGAGAAAAAATATTCATTGATGAGATTGCTTTCCAACCTAAGCCTCAATATTTATTGTTTTGAATTTGTCTTCGTTAAGATTGCGGTATTTAACAATAATATTGTTTTTTGCTAAAAATTCATAAATAATTCATTTAAAAATTCATTCATTCATTCATTATTTGAATATAAACATATCGTAAACGGATTTTTTTGTTTGCATTGTTGCAAAATATTTCTTTGCTAATATTTCTTTTTTCTATATTTCATTAAGTAAATTAAACGAGCGGTAGAGCACTTGAGTATTTTGTGAAAAGAATTGAATAAATAA